AGATTGAATAGGTATGGAGAAAGGATACAATCCTGATACACATCTTTCTTAATTTTAAACCATATAGTGTTCCCTTACTCTATTTGCACAATAGCCTCTTAGTCTAGGTATAGGTTTCTTTTGAACACAATTACATATTCTGAGATTCCTATTCTTCTCAAAGATAACCATAATTTGTTCTGATCCACACAGTCAAATGCATTTGCATAATCATATAACAGGATAATGATGTATTCACACATTGCTATATCTTCTTTATAATTATAATCCTTAATGGCTGCAAAAGATGTTAAGTAAATGATTCATCTACTCCTTTAATATTTATCAAACATCTCCCACATCTGAAGGATGCTAGTGATTCTAAGATAAAAAGGAAATGAACCACACCCTTCAGGGAGGCACTGACAGAGTATAAAAGCAAGAAGGTAACCAAATAATTATCAGTAGTCTCTGGGTACCAAAATAGAAGAATGGAGGAGTAGCGATGTCAGTTTGAGGACTAAGGTGCGTCAGATTCAGGCCGTTGTCTTTCCGATCACTTGCTATGTATCTGAGAACTGGACAATGAATAAGGATAACAGAAAAAGAACTGACACATATGACCTGCGGTGTTGGAGAAGAGCACTGAACATCTCATGGACAGGCAACAGTACAAATAGATAGGTCTTGGAAAGGATACAGCTGGAGTGCTCTTTGGAGGCAAGTATGATGAGGCTTTGTCTCACATATTTTGGACACATTGTTAGGAGGGGCTGCTCCTTGGAGAAGGACATGATGCTGGGAAGGGTGGAAAGTCCGCAAAGGAGAAGAAGACCCTTAGTCAGGTGGACTGATGTGTTGACTGCCGCAGTGGGCTCTTGTGTATGAGGAAGTATGTGGATGGCGCAGGATAGAACAGGGTTCAGATCTTTTCTTCACAGGGTCGTTATAAATTGTATTTGACTCGACAGCACCTAACAACCACTACCAACAGCAACAACCAACAACAAGGAAGTGTTGAAGGAAGAAGTAGCCTTAAAGACACTGATCAAAGTCTTGAAGGATAATGATGAAGTTTGTTTTCGGAGAAGGGGTAAGGGCAGTTTCTCAGCTCTCTAGCACATAGAATGACATGTGTAAAGGCGAGAAATGTGAAGAACACTGTGGTCCAAGAGGTTACAAGGAATTGAAGATAGCCCTGTTCTAGAGATCTTTTAAGTTGTGTCCATGTCTTCAATATAAATAATGCTACGATATATAACTTGCAGTATATAACTTTTACCCCATTTTGGACTATTTCTTTGGCTCAATTCCCAGAAGTGGGACTGCTGAGTCAAAATATAAGAGAGCACTCTGACCTAATCCATACAGCCAAATGCTTTCCAAAAGAACATAATGATCTCAGAAACATATGAGAAAACCAATGTAGGTTTTTATATCTTCCTCGTTAATTTCTTCTAATGTCTTTTTCTTTGATTACTAGTAAGGTTAATATCCCCTCTTATATTGGTTACTATGTGGCTTGCATCTCTTATCACCCAAAATAGAGAGTAAATTTTGGGTGAAATGAAAAAAGAAATGTTAACTGTTATAAGTTCTATTTACAACACAGATACTCAGATTTTCTCTATCATGTGTGTTTCCATTTTCCCACCCTCACCCCATTTTTGTTTTCTTTTTAAAATACATGTTTGATGCTTAGAAGTTTTAAGTCATATACATCAGTCATTCCTTTTTATTGCTTCTACTGTTCTTATTGAAATGTTTAAAAATGATTATATTTTCTCTGATTTATTTGAAAAATATTAGCTCAATAATCCTCCTAGAGCTTAACTCTGATGAATGAAATGAGATTTCAACTAGTTTTCCCTCTCCTCCAAATTACTGATGAGTTCTGCCCTACTGATTTTTTATTTCAAAGACAAATCATGTTTAGGGGCTAACTAAAGCATCAATTTGTTCCATTTTCTATTCCTTTCCTGAAATATGTCATAACAATTTAAGACAGACCTTTGGTCTAACTTCTCCTGTATTCTTGCAGATTTCTCTCATCAATGTGGAGTCAGAATCTATTCATAGCTGATCTTTCACTGGGTTTTCAGAGGATATAAACCCACAGGACAAAAGTGGCCACCTTTCTCCTGTGAAGCAGCTGGTGGATCTGAACCACTTGCCTTTGGGTTGGCAGCACAACTCCTTACCTACAGGCCACCAGATCTTAATTCCTGAAGCAGTCATTCTATTTATATATAAGAGGAATTGTAAGTAGGCTTAGGTTAGTCTTTCTAGTCCTTCCTGTTCACAGGGAAACCTGGTGTGTGTGTGTGTGTGTGTGTGTATGTGAAGATCTTACCTTTGGAGTCTACCAGAATAGTAGTGGTGTGTGTTTTTGCAGTGTGGAGGGTGATTTTGAGAGAGGATGATTGTTTCTAAAGAGCTGAAGTCATTGTTAGCCAATGTCATGACGTGTGTAGTCCTGAATAGGTGATTTCAGTATGACCCTGCTGAAGGCTAGCTAGATCTTAAGGTGTGATTTTGTGTAGGAAGAAAATAACCTCTTGCCTTTTTGAGCTCACGATAGAAAGCTGTCAACCAGCTAGTCAGTTTTTGAGAAAGGCATCAGATTGTAAACCAGGTGAACCTCCCAGGCATTTTTTTCCAAACTCCGGTGCAGTTAAGCATTGCCTGGTGAATTTATTAATAAGTAGATTTCTGTTCCCTGCTATCAGTTACACACAGGGCATTGCTGGAAAGTTTTTCTGGTCTTATCTCTTTCCAGCTTTTTGAAATTTAAAATGATATCCCCAGACATTTCCATACACACAGTTCTGGGTGGCATTTCTTTTTTCCATGGCTCACTGGTAACTCTTTTTCCTAACCAACAAAACTAAAATAAAACCACCTGAAGTCCATTTAGGTCCATCACTCTTACTCATTGTCATCAAGCTGACCCTCCCAGCAATTTCTGAGGCTGTAAACTGCCTAAGAAAAGATGGCATATCCTTCCACTGGAGAGCACTTGGTGGAGCTGAACCACCAGAGAAGGGAGATTTTCAGATTAGCTGCACAATTTCCTAAGAGACTAAACCACCAGAGTTCCCTTGTAGACTCACAACAACCTTGTAGAACAGGGTGGACCTTACAGAACAAGGTAGGCTTGCCCCTTAGGGTTTCCAAGGCCAGAAACATTTAGAAAAACATATTATCACAGCTTTTTGAGAGCTGACCTTTTGACTGACTGACAGTCAAACGTCTTAACCAACTGTGCAACTAAGTCTCTTTTATTCAACTCAAAATTGGCTCACCAGCAGCTTTTCAGAAGCTATAAACCTGATGGTTCTCCTGCAGAGTAGCTGGTGGGTGCAAACCAGCTGTCTTTGGGTTGGCATCACAACTATTTACCACTCTAGGCCACCAGTGTTCCCTGCTCCTGACCTACAATTTGTGAAAGTGCTTCAAAAGAACTCTGGTGGCACTTAATTAAAGACATTCAACAGTTAACCAAAAGATTGTAAGTTCCAAGCTGCTCCAGGGAAAGATACAGCCTTTGAAATCTTTGGTGTAATTGGACTGTGCCTTACAAGGCTACTATAAATTGGAATTAACTAGCTGTGGTATTAGAGAGGAGTACTGACTATCCCAGTGATTGCCAAAAGGACAGATAAGTTTTGGAGAAGTGAGGCCAGAGTGCTCGTTGGAGGCAAAGATTATGAAGTGGCTCGAACACTTTGGACGTGTTGTTAGGAGAGGCTATTCCTTGGAAAGAGACCTTATACTTGGAAAAGCAGAGGGAGGATGAAGGGGAGGTGGTCCTTCAACCAAGTAGATTGACATGGTGACTGCAGCAATGGGCTCCAGTGTGTCAGATTGTGAGGATGGTGCAGGAGAGAACAGGGTTCAGATCTGTTGTTCATAGTGTCGTTGCGAGTAGTACTCCAAGGCATTTAACGTCAACAGATGGCAGTGGGTTTTTCTTTGCTGATCGGAATATTTCAGGAGGTGGGCAGATTACACAAGGGGCATACACACATTCTGAGGCAGAACTCTAAAACAACTTGCGTCCACGCATTCTGTATTTCCTCAAAGGGGAACAGCTTAATGGCTCGTGATCTATAAAATGAATTCAGATTCCCCAGATTATCATTCTGGAACTCCGTCTGGATTTCTTCCCTGAATTAGGAACCAGTCAAGTTTCTTCAGCAATACTTCCTCCAGAGAATGGTTCCCAGTCCCGTGATTAAGCTGTTGCAAGCAGGCCGTAAGGAAAGGATTGGATCCTAAAGACTCCTCTGGGTCCTCTTTCCTCCTTTGGCTCCACTTCCAGATGTAAACTCCTTTCCTCACAGGTGAGGAGGCTCCTTTCCTCTGTTCTCCTATTTTCTTTCACTCTTTTCTTCCTTGGAGAAAGGAGAGCGCTTAACTCCTCATTCCAACCCCAAGGAAGTCCAGGAACACTTTCCTCTTGGGCGCACCAGTAAGACATCTCTTAAAACGCAAAGGTGGGGCAGCAGTGTGTACGGTTACACCCAGAGGAAGGGGGCTTATCCAAAGGCTCACAGTATGGGTGTCAACTCACCCAACCCTGTTGTCCCTCTCCCCTGCATCCTTCCAGAAGCCATCTGCTGCTGCGGGTGGCAGTCAGAGAGACCCGCCGCTCTTTAATTTCGGACACTCTGCGGGGCTGCTCCCAAGCAGTGCACTCTTAGATCCCCTCCCCTCTTCCTTTCCGCAGGCAGTCCTCCCACCTACTCCGAGGCAAAGAAAGGGGACCCGGGCGCTCTGAGGTGGCCTGAGAAGGGGCGGGGAGAAAAGAAGTGGGAGGGGCGAGCAGGCGGCAGACACTACGTGGTGCCAAAGCCCGGAGGGCGCTCGAGCCTGCGCGCGCGCGCGCCCCTCCGAGGCCGGGCGGAGGGCGGAGGAGCCGCGGGAGGAGCCGCGGGCGGAGAAGGCGGAGCCGGCGGCGGAGCAGCCGGTGGGGCGGGGGGCGGGGCGAGCGGCAGGCGGAGTGAGGGGTGGGAGGGCGCGCGCGCGAGCCTGCGAGCAGCGTCTCCTCCAGCATCTGCCGCGGCAGCGTTTGCCCAAATCCCAGGACGGACCGACGGACCGCCTGGCGGACGGACGCGGGTGCTAGCTTTGTGCTGGGGGCCCGCTTCGGCGAGACTCGGGCTTGTGCGCGGCTTCTCTATCCTTTGCTCCGGCGGCCTCGGCGTGCGAGGGGCTGGAGCTGCGGGCGCCGCGCTCCACCGCTCGCTTCCCCGCGCAGCCGAGCCCGGGTTGCCTGCGCCTCGGCCCCGAGCGGCGTCCCCGAGTCCCCGCTCCCCTCCGGGCCGCTCTGAGCAGCCGCTCCGGGGCTCCAAACTCGGGCTGCCGGGGCAAGTGTCTTCATGAACCCAAAGGATGTCCGGGAAGCACTACAAGGGTCCTGAAGTCAGTTGTTGCATCAAATATTTTATATTTGGCTTCAATGTCATATTTTGGGTAAGTTGGAGCGCCTCTGGGATTTCAACTATTGTGGCTGATCGATTCGCGACGATTTCCCCACGCTGCCGGCCGCCTCTACTTTTCGCAGCCCCTTAGGCGCTTGTAGGCGGCGGGGAGAGGCTTTTGCCTTCCTTCTTGCCAGCGTGTGCGTAGGAGAGATAAACATTTAATCCTTTCTAGGAATGAGAAGAGGTGAAAAGGAAAACGGAGCCGGGAAGGTGGTATTAAGGCCCTGGGGTGCCTTCCTATGGGGCGAGTTGCAGGAATATAGATGAAAGAAAGGGCTCGGTAGTTAGAGAAATGAGCAACCACGCGAATTAGGTTTGCTCCCGGTGGGATAGGGATGTTGGGCAGAGCGTAGTGTCATAATAGGGAAGGCTAATGGGGCCGAGCCCACCCTGAGGTCCACCTTAGAACAAGGATCTGATTGGACAAGGGCTCGGCTCCGTGTTGCCGCGGCTGGTCTGTGCCATGCTCAGCGTGTATCTTCTTGCACCATCTCAGGCTTTGTGTAGGATGCAGATGCGGTGGTAGAAGGGTCTGTAAATGTGCACGTAAATATCGCTTCTTGCACGCTCTTCCCCTTGTGTTGGAAAGCACTCTTTTGCATAATGGACTGACCAGTGGGCGTACGGAGTAGAGGGATTTATGTCTCTCTCTCTCTCTGTGTATATATATCACCGTTAGGATTTTAAGTCACCATCAACATATGTTTCAGTATGTTCGTGTCTCACGTCCTCCTTTCCTGAGGAGTGACACACAGAACGGGTCGGTTTTTGGGAAGAGAAAGGCGACGGAGGAGGTGTGCGAGATCTGTTTTTATTGGGGAACCAAGAGAGCGAATGCTTGAACGCAAGATTCAAACCATTCACCGCTGGCGCTGAGATGTGTTGGGTACCTATTGTAATTAGACTGGGGCGCCTACTCTTTTGTTTTGTTTTGATTCTTTCCCTTGATCTCACAAACGTGTTCAGCCAGACAAAGAGTTCACCCAGGACCAGGCGAAACGTGTTTTTAGAGACCAAGCTGTGTTCCCTCCCATCCCATTCTATCATCTTCTTCACTGGGCACCCCCTCCCCATGGAAAGTAAAGATGGTGGCTGTCTAGGGGGTTCTCCAAGTTGCTGTTTAGGGTGAGGTAAACAATGATCCAGCTGCGAGGTCGTTAAAAAGCCACAGCAATCAGAACCCACGATGTATTTATTTTGAATCTCTTCTTAATTTTGACCATTGACTGAGCTGAGGCATCAGTGCAACTCTTCACATTTTTATTTTTCTACTACACATTTTGCAGACTATTTTTATTTTCCTTCCGTTTTCTATAGGAATGGCTTGTGTTGGTCATGCATATTTTGCAAAAGGAAATGGCAGAGATTGGAGAATACTTCAACTGTCATAATGCCATCTTGGTACTGATAATGAGAGGAGGCATGGGGATAAATATCATATCCAATCATTCGTAGGCATAAGAAGGTTTATGCTTGGTTTGGTTGTTGGTTTTTTGTCACCGATTGTGCATGATACTCTCAGTCATCGTTTCCCACCTCCACCTCCATCAAATGTTAGTACATATACAGAAGGAAGAAATTATTTTTCTTTTATGGCTTCTTTTCTTTCCCCCTGCTGGAAATTTCTAAAAGTGGTGGTAATCACATTTCTGAGTTGAGGTATTTTGATTTTATTGGAACTTTGTAACTTTGGGAGGCAGGGACTACAGAATTTTCACTGACCCTTCTTCATAGGTGATCAAGTCTAGGCCTTTTGACTGTACTTGAATGCTTCTGACAGTTGCACATTTAAGCTACCAGGTGACAAAAAAGCACTCAGGGACTTTGCTAGAGTTTAGGAGCAAGGAATGGGAAGGAAATAAAGGGATGTGGGGTTGTTTCCCTCACTTTTGATATAATTTTGTAGTCTGTGCAGAGGCAGATTTAGCTCTTTGTGTAGTCAAAGTTGCAGCAAATCCCTAGAAATTGAGGAGAACTCAAAAAAATTGAGTACTTGCATAGAGAGTTCCAGAACAGAGCTGAATTTTGTCTGATTGTAGAAGTTATCTCTGAGAGGAGTTTTATAAGAAACCAGAGAGTAGACTTTACCATAGAACTTCACGGATTGCCTGGAATTGCTACAATAAAGATGCCTGTCTTGTAAGGGCCTGTTTATGTCCTGGAATATTTGGGTGGTGGTGCAAACCACAAGGTTGGAAGTTTTTGTTCACTCAGAGTTACCTTGAGAGAAAGGACTGGCCATCTACTTCCAAAATACCAGCCATTGAAAACCCTACATATGCAGCAAAGTTCTGGTATGCGTGGCATCACCGTGATTTGGAATGGCCTTGAAAGCATCTGACTTCTTTCTTTGCTCAACACTCCCCACTCTTTTTTGTACGCAAAATGTTTCATTCAGGTACCCACTCACACCTTTCCTTTCTGTCCTGTGCTCCAGAATTACTGCTGTTTAAGTTTCCCAGTTTACCAAGACATCTCAAGTGTTTTGGAGAGGGTGAAACCAAGTTCCTCCTTGGAGGCTAGGATTTTGAAGCTCCATTTCACGTACTTTGGGCATGTGGCCAGGAGAGACTGTCCCTTGGAGAAGGACATCATGCTCTGAAGAGTAGACGGGACAGCACAGGAGAGAAAGACCCAGGATGAGATGGATTGATACAGTAACTGGGGCAATGGAGGTTGGTGTGTTGGAATCAGTGAGACTAGCTCAGGGCAGGGCAGGGTTCAGAGCTGCTGTACGTAGGAGTCACTGTGAGACACAGATGACTCGAAGGCACATGACAACAACAACAAGAACAACAACAGTGATAAACCACAGAATCAAAAGTAGTGGTATCCAGTTAAAGTAATGCAGACTTAGATGTTGGTGACTTAAGAGCTGAGGTCAGTAGCTCAGCAGCATGCTTTTGAAAAGTTTCGAGTCTCCGCTCTTTACAGGCCCCAGCCTAACAAACAGCAGCCTCCGTGCTATTCCTATACATCCCAGTAGACGGTATGAACGAGAGAGAGCACGAATTCCTAACCTTTCATTTCCATACTGTGAAACACTAGAATAAACTGAAGACATTTGGAGTTGTGCTAAAAGAAAACTGCGCATATGTAGCACCACCACCAACAGTTTTGTTCTGCTTTGAGCTGGCATTTTGATTTTGCAAGTCAGTGGACCAGCCTGGGCCTCAGTTTCTCAGCTGTTAAAATTAAGTGAGCTAAAGGTTCTTTCTTGTTCTGATATGGGACAACTCTGTCAGGGTCTTGTATGCTAGGGAAGGTAAAAAAAAAATAGAAGACATAGCTACTAATGTCTAATGGAAATAGCATATATTGGAATATCTGTTAAAGAGTTTCTTAATTTCCTCCTTAAAGATATTTTCATTAAACACCCCCCCCAATATATTTCACTAGTTTTTTTCTTGACTTACTCAGTTATTGGTATCATATGCGTATGTCTCTAGTCCCACCTTGGATCTGAGATATAGTCCTGTGAGTCATTACATATATTTTTATTAGAGTTACAGCTTTGTGTGTAAAATCTGAAACTTTTTATGTAACAGTTGTAATGATATTCTGAGTAACAAAGTCAACATCTTGTACAGATTCCTTTCTCATTAGTTATCATGGGTTAGTGGGGAAAATCTTACTTTATGTTGGGAGAAGTGGAGACAGAAGGGAATTGATATTATTAAGGGTATCACCATTCTTGGACATTGCTCAGGAAACCCTGAGGTGGCTGGAGCTGGGGAGGGGAAAGGGAGAGTTTGTTTTAAAGTTTCTTTATTCTTTAGGGTAATGAACTTCTCTCTAGCCCATTACACACCATTTAGAGGTATTTTTCTCTAAACTCTTTTGGATTCTTTTGCCACTCTTAACTATTCTCCAGTCCTAGGCAAGTTAATGGATCTAAGTGTTTATCTGTTGCCACGTAAAGGACCAGTGATGACACAGTGGTTAAAGTGCTTGACTATTAACTGAGAGGTTCGGAAAAAAATGGACAAAAAATACGTGGATGTCAACATAGATAATTGGATGGACAAGAAAGGCCTGTAAACCAGGAAGATTACTTTGTTTTCTGCTAGTCATTCTATAGGGAAAAGAATCCTTGTGATATGCTCGGGTGAAGATTTAAAGCCTGGGAAACCTTATGAGACAATTCTCCTCTGTCTATTTTGATCACTTAGCTTTGAAATTAATTTGATGGCACATAGGAACAGTATTAACAACAGTGCTACATACCATTCAACCCTAAAACTGAGTGGTTGAAAACAGAACTTTTTATTACACAAAACTGAACTGACCGTGCTGAGCTGGAGAGGGCTCATATAGTTACAGAGGGAAGTGCCCAGGAAGAGAGTTATATGAAGGCCCAGTGAGACTTCACAGGTTTAACAGGTAGTTGATGCTGAATGAGGGAGCTCTGATGACTTGTTGTTGTTATGTGCCCTTAAGTCACTTGTCTAATGGCTTCGTGGTAAGGAATTCTGCTGCCAACCCAAAGATACCTGGTTTGAATCTACCAGCTGCTCTGTGGGAGAAAGATGGATATTCTCTTCCTGTACGATTAATAAGAGTTAGGCCGGAGCTGTTGATGAAGCAACACACTGGGCTTTTTCCTGTTTCTAAGACCGAAGAGGAAGCTTCCAGCAAGCCACAGCTATACCAGAGCTGGTGCTTCGTCACTCTCACCCACTTCATTGGTTAAAGCATTCTTGGAATCTGTTTAGTTTTAAGAGGCAAAGGAATAGACCCCACCTTTTGATCTTGGAGTGCCAAGGTCACATTGCAGATGGTTTTGTGGATTGTGGCCATATTTGAAAAAAATAAACAAAATACAAACTGCTTCACTGAGCATTAGTATCTTGGGTAAAGAAAAGAAAAAGAATATTATCATTGAGGTGGTCATTTTAAGGATTTAAGCAGATAACATAACTCCTAAATGTTTAACATGTGGTAAATATCAGCATTGTTATTGCCTCTAGATTTAATACTAGCTCCCTG